CCGCTTGACAACTCACTGACAGTGCTGGATTTATGCACCAATTTACCAGCTCGCGCGTGCAATGCGCAGCTACTTACCCCCCAATCATCGGTGAACGAAACTGTGGCAGCTACAACCAGTGTACGACCAGTACGCGGTTATTACAGCTGATAATGATGATGATGACATCTGTTCGCGCAACTACATTCACCTGCATAACCGCTTCCTACACTCCCCCACTACTCGACCGATGTCACGCGTCCGTATTGCCACCAAGTGGAAGAGGGTTGCAGTGAATCAGACTAAGGGAATGTCTTAGGTACATCCAAGTCTCCAAGCATCAACCATAAGGAGCAGATATTGATCGACAGGTCTGTTTGGACAACCTACCTCGAAAATTCGATTTTCACCACCAACATCGTAATACATCAGCTCTCACAAATCTCGTGGAAGTTGAGCGCTACGACGGCGCTTCATCGTCTATGAATACCAACTAGAAGATTCTACCCACTTGCTCAATCTTCCCAGGCGTAAAGTTGAACTCCTTAAGTACAAATACAACAGCACTACTGCTTACCTTTATTGGCATCCTTGACCACTACGTCTTGAACTTCGAACAGCTTGAGAGGCAAAGGGAGTCTCCGGTTATTGCTGATCGTGTGCAAAATGCCCGGAAGCAAGGTGGTTCGGACGACCTGCAGAATACAAAACAGCATACCGAACGGGGATGAATGATTAGCAGACGTGTCGCAACTACTTACAGTGATGTGAAATTGGGGAGAGAGGGAGAGTCTAGGGCAAAGTCCTTAGAAACCTGGCCACATTCACACGTGATTTTAGGAAGGGTAGTGTGGGGTTGTGGAGCAGTTTGTTCACCAAACGTTCGACGGGAAAGGTTCATAAGACCAAAACAATGTGCATTCTGGATGGAATGCTTTCACACAAAATATATATTATCAGTTCTGGATCGTTCAGATGTAGCACCCTTTTGGTGCCTAGCTGCCATGCCACCAAGAGGAAACACGAGGGCTGGGATTCTGCCAAGTTGTCCAAGCCTAGACAGGAGAGATCGAGAAGCAGAGGTTGGGAAAGCGTTTAATGATGATGTGAATAGTGAAGATGGGAAAACGTGCGCTGGAGTCAGTAATCAGTGTCTCTTAGTCCAGAGCCGGCGACGGGTGTTATGTTGTTTCGGGGCTGTCGGCAAAATCGGTCATTCACTGAATGCAACCTGATTCGCATAGCATATGCGCTTTTGGATGTGACTGGGCCACATGCGCAAAGTCCCCTGTCGGGGTGACAATCCAGAGACGACGACTACTAAGACTGGTGAGTGGGCTTATTGCGATTTTCGGGATTCACTCCTGGACCGTTTGTACTCTGAACATGGTTAGGCAAAAAGGAACCTTTTTGGAATCTGTTAGGCGGAATTCCACACGGATCCCGCTTTACCGCTTGCACTCAGGTGCTGCTACGGTCGAGAAGTTCATCCCACGCAAGATTGGCCAAGAATTCGGGACGCTTGCCGGTCCGGCATCAAGCCGAGATCTAATTGGTCGAAAGTTTGGACCCAACAGCCAATCATGACCCAGTATTGGCTAAATGCCGGTTGCCAATGCCGCATCCAGAACGGTTCAGAAACTCCAGAAAGTTATAACCGCGTAAACTATGTATACGAAGCGCTATACAACTGTTCCTGACTTCGTTTGGGGCTTTCATATACCTTGTGTACCTTTGGTGGTTGTTTTTGACGTGAAAGCTAGCTTGGGAGGCTCAGACCGAGAACTAAGCTGAGAGGAATACCGTTATTACAGAATCCGAAGCACCTGATCTAGCATAAGTATAATCTGTGTAGTGTTAGTATGAATTCATGTGTAATTACCGGAAGCAACCGGGTTGGTTGACAGCGGTCAACCCGAAGCAAAAGAAGTAGAGTACAATAGCAATTAATGGATCAAAAGTTCGCTGGCTTAGAAAATCGCAAGCCTCCGATCACAACTGTGACATCCACATCTAACGGGTGTATACAATGAGCTGTAAGTTAATGAAAAGGTATACTAGTGAAGCGGAAGTAGACCAAAGCGATTGCGCGTTGCAACTAAGTATGAGGTCAATCGACTCACTTGAAAATCACATGTTTTCGGGTTGGAAATATGGACGGCAGGAATATCTTTGAGGTTATGGCGCAACTTGACCGAAATGTCATCCCTGGAACACTGAAGGCAAACGTAAAGAACCATTGGTGAGTGTCGAATGAATAAGGAAATGAACAGGAGAGAGAGTGTGGAGTCAAAAACGTACTAGAGAGAAACTGAGAGCCTCGGTGAAACCAGCGTGCGCGATCTCTGTGCGAATCATATCAGCAAGCCTATTGATCGGTTGTCTAAAGGCGATATTGTAGGTTTGGGGTAATTGTTCCGGAATGTTATCGTATCCGTGCGCGATAGCCACGTCCTCTACAATATCACAAGCGTGTAGAATGTCATGTCGAGTTGGCGGGATGCGTACAGACAGTAGACCGGAAGAACCAGCTGAAGAAGGACAGTGTATGGAACGCTGTAAGCTACTCGGAAGTGATGTATCAAATAGTGAGACTAAATAAGTTGTGTGTTAAGGAACTATTCAGGTTGAACGTATTCGGACGACCATACACAAAGAGGAAGAGAGACAGAAATATTCAATGGCATTCAGTCCGGCCTTAGGAGCTTGGCATGGTCCTACGTGATACAAGGTAGATAAATATGCCAAGAAAAGAGCGAAACTGGTCGTGGGCTGTCGAGGAATTTTCAGCAACCTTATGAGTAGTGCATTACGAATATACATGTATCGCGATATCTCGAATATCGTAGCGACTGAGACCTGAGGCGGCCTGGTGCAGCACATCCAGTTGCTTGGAAAGATCACAAACGAAAGGCTCAGCTGGGTTCCAGGTCCCTCGCGAAACCAAATTAGTTTGTAAATGAGTGTTTTTCGATAAATATTTCATAAATACTGTCCAAAAACGGTGCTTCAAGTGTGTTATCTAACATTCATAAACCTTACGTAGGAGATAAAGTGTCTTCGACATTTTTGAAGACCAATGAAGAGAGATACATCAGAAAATTAATACTACAGAGTACAAAACATGACAACGGCGATAAACCAAAGCGCCAAATGATTACTTACACAATGAACGAGGGGATTTCGCAGACTGATTGGTTCCTGAAGGTGACCGGTGTCCTGTGATTGCAGTGGTAATCAGACCCATCCGATTGAGCAAATGGATAACTTCTTTCTCGGCAAATTGTGTTCCAAGTATTCGGTTGATATAGTCAATACTCACCACTTCGTCCCGATAGTCTAGACGCTAAGCAAGTAGATGAAGTCGATGAAGAGTCTAGGTTACGATGAGTGCGGCAGTGAGAAATGAAGTTGTGGACCAATCTAGCGGAAATTGTCAAACTATCGTACCGCAATAAAGAGCGAGCGAGAGATGAGACCGTTCAGCTGTAACACTCTTCCGGCGCCTGGCTGTCATGCCACACGAAGAAAACATGAGGGCTGGGATACTGTCAGGTTGCCCAAGCCTAGACAGGGGAAGTCGAGAGGCAGAGGTCGGCTTCGAACCACGGACCTTCCAGTCAGTAAGTTCGCGCTCCAACCACTTGATCCATCTCGCCCCCAATAACGAGCGATTTGCCTGTGTAGCCGTAAGGAACTAGTAAGATGCACCAACAGGATGGGAAATTACGATGCCCAGTACATGCAAATGTAACGGAAACAGTTGGACACAACCAGCAAGTATTGCGGCGGTTGCCGTTATATTTCGACTACTACTGGATGTAAGTGGCTTCGCAGAAAGACAAAACTTGGCGAGAGGAAACAGCCCACACACTATCCTGTGCACTCACAAAGTGGTTACATCCCTATATACAACTCAGTACATACGCCAAAAACTCAACTACCAATAGACGTTCATTCAACGGCCAGGCTTTCGATCAGGATCCCAAGCTGATCTAAAGGAAGAATAATTCACACGACGAATGAAACACCAATCGGAGAATTCGGCACTCGAGAAGCAAGTCAACTGACGCAATAGCCTGTCTAGGTGAAGGATAACCTCATTACTGATCAGTCGATCGTGTTCGAACGGTTTAAACTGCCAGCCGGGAGGTCGCGGCTTCGGAACTGTTGATGATTCCTTATAAGGAGGAAACCGCTGAGCGATGTTTATCAGCCATTCTGAATAGGTTGGCGTAACTCACTAGACGAGATTTCCATTAAAAACTCCAAGATATCTTTACATTACCAACAGATTACCTGAGAAAACCAAAGCAGATGGCTAAACCAGGACCGATAATCAAGTCAGGCATACCAAAATCAGTGGATTGTAGGTGTGAGACAGAAGATCAACGATGTCTGAAATTAGACAGTAAAAGTAAAAAACAAGACTTACAGGGAACAAGTGATGACTATCGTCATGTTGGATAACCAGGACCGGTTCTACCCTGTGAGAGGAGTTTTAGAGAAAAGCATTGGGTGAGGGGATGATAACGGATTGTCGACAACGTTCGTCTGTCCGCAGCTTACTTGAGACCTACACGGGTCACAGAGATTTGCACCACAGATGCGTAATAACTCTCATAGACTATGGCCAACTTTTCACTGTCCAGTAGCTGGGACAACAAATCCTATGTCAGTAGTGAACGCGGGGCCTGTACGGCACTTCCAACCAAGGTCACAGGCCAAACACACGAGCACGACCAACCTCAGCGTCACTTGCTGGTTAGTGTCAGAGCTGAAGACAATAGTTGTACGGGGGAAATGAAACCGCTTCCCGCCCTTCAGTCCTGAGCAAGTCGAAAAACGAGTTTACCCATAAATTACAACGTTGAGGTGGTCCACCGGTGTCGTGTGCTGCAAACCGCCGTGCAACTCCTATGTCGGTCCTTGGCTTCCTGCTGCGTCCACTATTGTACGTCAAAATGCACGGTAGCTTGAGACAGACCCTTACTAGGACAAAGAAGGATTATTACAACTGTATTTATACGGTCATCACAGAATGTTCCACAGGGTTGCGCTAGAGCCTTCGTAAGGGGGCGGGAAACATCGAAATAAAGATGTTCGATCCAGATAAGCTAACATTCTGACTAATTAGGGCATGCTTCCGCCTAGCCCGTAGCTAGCACGTGACACATCGGTCCAATCGCAGTGATGTTCGGTTATTGAAAGCGGCTGGCCTCCGAACAACCGGTGAGAGATGAATAAAAGTCTCGAATAGGCGCTCGCCTCTGAGTACAGTTTACCGTACCTCAGATCAATGAAAGCCGGACGGACAAGTCGCTCACTACCCACAATGCCCATACCAGCAAACACGTACAAATTCGAGAAGTTGGACTTACAATGAGAGCAAAAATTATTTTGATTGTGACGGCCGATAAACCACTGCTTCAATATGCACAAGGTCGGAAACGTTAGGAGTAAAAGCGTCAGTGGTTTCTGGTCCGTCACAGGATTGTCCACGGTTGAGTATTTTGTTAACGAAATCCCCGGAGCACCAGAAAGTCCAAAAAAGCTGTCGCAAGAAAAACTGAATTAACGAGGAAGAATAGGCTCAGGATGGGCTACCCGATGATCCTACAAAGATTCTGTGAGTCTGTCATGAGCGGTCCTAGGAATCGCAAATTATCCCAAACAACCGGCAACTAAAATACTACGTCAAAACATTGGACATAATCCTTAAAAGCTCATAGGAAGCCAACTGTCGAAACACTGACACAGAGATATTACTACAAAAGCCTGGGTACTTACGTGAATTGTGGGTCACAGTATTCAGAGAACATTGTGACTAGCGTGTCGAGGACAATAGAAGCTTTGTGCAAGTCGGTGGCCGTTGCTTCGATGAAAATGTTCCGAGTTTTGAGAGTCACACGACTGTGTTCACCTGTGCAGAGATGATGGGATATTGTAAAGACGGGTACATCTCATGGTGAGAAGACAGAGGGGTGGCCCCATAACAATGATGGAAAACGCAGTTTCGTTGGACTGTATGCCGGCGCCTAGGTCGACCCTGACGATGTCAGTCAGTCACAAGAACTGTCAGCTAACTAGGTGAATATAGCTTGTGGCATACTCTCGCCGTATGTGGCGCGAGAGGGAATCAAGCAGTGGTAGAAGAAAATGACCTCAGGCACCATAGCGCAATTGTGCTGATCTAGGGTTCCTCTTGTGGAAAAAGATTGTAAGGGGTCCAGACGTATGAAGTTTTGTGCTCCATACTCCGGCGAACCCTCTCTTCATACGGCCTTAAAAATGAGTTATGAGTTATGCTACTCAGAGCAGAAAGTAGATAAGACCATGGAAGCAACTGCTTTCGGATGATGGCGCTTTAATCGCTATCACGCATAACCGACGACCGAACGGTTGGATTGTCATGAACCATCACTCAAGCGTTCACGATTCACTTAGTCAGAGCGACCGCGGTGCAACAGGACCCGGACTGCATTTGTACCAGTTGAGTCTCGCTCTTCGAGGCTCTTCTATCGTGCACGGTTCGTGTCCGACTGACGGAGAGATGATCAACTATTCGCCCAGTCTATTTAGCGTGTAGCTTCAATGGGAATCATGACAAGCATAGACACCGGTATGCTACCTGAGCACTCTTGTCCAAATATGGCAGAGTTGGCCTACAGACCTCCTGGTTAGGAGCTCGCGCCTGGGCGCCTCGAACGGAAGAAAGTATTCCTGACTTTAACATTGTGGTAGCTGCTTCGGTGTGTCAGAGAGTTTGCGCGTGTGCGTGTCCGGTCGTCGTTCCACCATCGATCTGACATGTGACTTGAGTGGCTGATTGGATGTGTGTCCGATTGGTTGGCTCGCGTGAGCGCTGTGGGTTGACTGGATATGTGACTCAGTTGTTTTGCTTGCCTGCCACGAAAGCGGGCCAGTTTGGCCGCGTGTACCCAATACACCCGTGTCCGTACTTACGTGTTCTTCTGACTTACTGTGAATTACAATAAACGTACCATTGATGATCGGAGGCATTGAAAGCACCGTTCCATTAGCGTCTGTGATCACCGGATACACTGGCTTGTCCTGTATGATTGGAAGGTAGGGCTTCAAATGACTGTCTGTCTGTAAACCAAAAGGGAAATAAATGTAAATGGATGTGTGAAAACGGCAGGCACAAAAGTGCAACAAGAATCCAAATTTCGGGTCTTGCGTGCGACAAGGCCGAAAACAGTGAGATATAAAAGACGTATCTGTGATCTCTCTAACCGCCGTGGCTAGGCTACTCAACAGACTACGGCGTTGGATTTTGTGTACTAACAGTCTTACCCTAAGGTGACACAGCCCTATGATGAAACAAAAAAAAGTTGCACAGTAATCCCCGAATGGATACTGTTACCAGGAATGTATCTTTGGTCTCTCATGTGGAGAATTCCATTGAGAAGATAACTTTATTAGCAAAAAATTGCAGAGAGTGCGTGAGAAACAACAGACTTTTATTGCCCAGCTGTACAATTTGTCTTCCTAGAGGATCTTTGAGTGAAAAGGTTGGTAAGTGACGAAAACCGGTGCAGCAAAATATCGTCCGATTGACCTCACCTTTAAAGGCAATGTTTCTTCGACGAATAAAATCTAGTTTGAATAGACGATGCTGGGTGCTGTTGCCTACGACGCACGCACAATTGCTTGTGAGCCGGAACCTAAGACACAACTCAAAAATACGGCTTTGGGACCAGTCACAAAGAGAATGGACCTTACCGTGGTGCGATGGTTTGTGTGCCTCCTTGACCCATTCAAAAATACGCTTTGGGACCAGTCACAAAGAGAAAGGAACCTTACGTGGTGCGATGGTTTGTGTGCCTCCTTGACCCATAGAACTATACGGGGTAGTGTCCATGAGACACTCACAGAACTGCTCATACCAGCTAGGTCGATGGTTAGCAGTATCCCTCGCCTCCAGTTTGGAAGTAAGAACACGTGTGACCACTTGTTCTACAAAAACTGAAGTGCACTTGAATTTCCCGCCAAAAGCCTCTGACTTGTGGTCAGGCTTCTGAGCCAAGGGCTTTAGGTCGAGGACACTAATCGTCCTCCTGTCTAAGTCTGGGTGCCCTGATAGTATGCCAACTCACGTACAACCATGATACTTACAACTAAGAATACTTCCATACCACATCAACCGTCGCGTGATGTCAACAGCCGGATCGCATCATTTTCTGCAAACAACAGGGCGTGTAAGCCAAGACACATCACTGCTGACGCCTCGCTTCTTACAGTTTCACGCTTCCCCACTTCTAGACTACCCCACCTAGATTTGAATACTCTCTCCGCAAGTCACAGCACTAAGACCGACCGTTTTGCTCGCCATGCATCATACTTAGATGCAGATTCTGTACGTCCGACTTCAGTGACAACCCTAAACATTTCGCAGTCTGTCTTAAAACCCCGAAAGCCTATCTACTTAGTTGCATTTAATGTCCGCAAATGGAAGCAAGCAGGATAACAGGTGGTTGTTGCTCGTACGCTGGATTCCCTCTGCAGTGATGTATAATGTCTATCAAGCGTGCAAGCGTGGGTGTTATACTCAGTGACCAAGCGGAGGCGTGTCGACTAGATTGGAGACCCGTTGACTGTCTTCTCTGTGCGGTTCGTTTGGCGACATCTGTGACAGAATCTCGAGAAAGCGAGAACCATCGCACCCTGTTTATTGTGTCGGCTAACGACCCAATGGACTGTAGCTCTGAATCCGTCAAAGACAGTTTCTATGACGCTCTGGGCGCTCTTTTACAATGGTTTGAAGACTGAGATATCGCCTTGGTTGCTGGTGACATGAAGACTCAGGTAGGTAGACTAAACGATGTTGAGACCCAATTGGGTGGACGTCTCGGGTTGGATACGAGACGCATGAACAGTGGAGATCACTTGTGTGCGCCAATCACAGACTGTTCATTTGCAATACGAACTACCGAATAGCTGAAATCACTTGACAACGTGGTGCCAACTGACAAACTAGTCCCAAACCCAAGCAGACCACATTGCCATCAATTATCGGTGGTGAGGGTAGATCAATGTCCGCCGTGCGTTCTGGAACGCCGGCGTGGACCCCGACCACGCACTTGTTTCGCTGCTGCTTTTCAGATCTACGGGAAACGCACATTGATTGGCCATCGAGAAGCTTGTGAACAAATAATCGGCTTCCCGAACACCTGCCAGAAGGTCCGATAGTGGATATAAGCGGACCAAATAGCTTCATGGACCCGAAAGGTTATATAAATAGATGCAAAGATGCTAGAAACGTCTGCAAGATGTTCCATTTGATTCGTTCGACTGGATCTCGGAAACCTCTTGTCAGCGGAACAGAATGGCTCTCTGATACCCGGAAGAGCAGAACGTTGGATCCGCTGGGCATAGTACTTCGAAAAGCAATTCAGTTGGCCACCTGCTACCTCCAATCTGGAATTCTGGCTGTCAACAGAAAAGTGGAATGTGAATATGGAGCACCTTCAACCTGAGAAATGTCCGAAAGTACACGGATACTCGAACGTTATCGTGCTCAAGGTCTTGGCGACCTTTCACCTGCTTTGTTCAAGGATGGTGGTGGACTTCTCAACCAGTACCTGTCTAGTCTATTTAGGTCTATCTGGGAAAAAGAGAAGGCTCCAGACTACTGGAGTGAATCGACAGTAGTGTCCATTTTCAAATAGGGTACTCGCAGTGAATGTAGTAACCACAGGGTTGTTAGTTTGATGCCTGTTGTGACACAGTTTCTGGCGTCATTGATTCTTTGTCATCTTACGGTGGTGCGCAAACCCATGACTCGTGAGAATTGAGCGGGATTTCGACCTCGTAGAGGTGGCGTTGTCCACATCTTCACACTCCGTCAGGTGTTAGAGCAACGTCATATGTATAGACGACCCACAATCTTCGTATCCCTTGACTTCAAGAGTGCGTTCGATTCTGTCGATCGGTCAGTGCTGTTAACTACACTTACTCAACAGAAGTGTGGGGACATATTCACACTGTGGTCAAATTTGGCGAGATCAGACTGGAACCCGGTGTTTTCAGATAAATTAGTGAATGCCGTAGACCAAATAACCGCTCCAGCATTGGAGTCGATTCTGGGAAAATACGAAAATGCTCTCTGAATAAGACTTTTATCAACCTGAGACACCGGTCACATAACTGACTTAATGGCCTTGTGTCGCATCAACTGACGCGGTTCATTCGATGGCTTGGAAATCAGTCCACTCCCACTCGGTATTCAGGCAAGCAAACGAGTCGAGTCAACCAGTCACCTTACCGAATGGTCAAGCGGAAGATCTTCTCGTCCGTATAGGCAACGCCAAATGGGACTGTGTGCACTTACACGAAGCCGCAAATAATGCGTCGCTTTTCAAATGGTGTTCACGTTTAATTGTAGGAAGCTGACGTTTTCGAGTCGATGAGATCTATAGACTTGAAATCTACAGTCCCTGGTTTCTGCTACATATATTGGAAGCACAGAAGACGAATAGGTTCTAATGGTTCTATCAGGGAACGCTGTCAGGTCTTTCCGATATTACTAAATGCTTGCGCCTTCAATGGTTAGGATACATCGTGCGTAAGCTTGTTAGGACATCAGGTCTACACAACAGAGAATTTGTCCAACCTCCACCACTGTCTTGTGCACAAAGGCTTTACCGTTTCATAGGCCATCTGAAAGATTGGGAACTTTATAGTTGGTAGGCAGGAATTCACGCGGATCCCACTACACCGCATGTCTTTAGGCGCTGCTACGGCCGAGAAGCCTCGCCCGCTCGAGGTTGGCCCAGAATTCGGGACGTTTGCCGGTCTGGCATCAAGACGAGATCTGGTTGGTCAACAATCTGGACCCAACAGCCAATCATGACCCAGTATTGGCCAAATGCCGGTTGCCAATGGCGCATCCAGGATGCGTCGGAAATTCCAGAAAGTTATAACCGCTTACGCTATATATAAGAAGCGCTGTACAACTGTTCTTGACTACGTTTTGAGCGTTAATAAACTTGTGCACCTTTGGTGGTTGCTTTGACGTGGACACTAAGCTTGGGAGGCTCAGACCGAGAACTAAGCTGAGGAAAATACCGTTACTACAATAGTAGGACTGATTTTTGATGTCTCGTCACTCACGTCATTTACGCGTGGCAATCAAAATGAAAATAAATAAATTTGCTCGCCGATTCAGCAGTAGGGGGCGAGATGGATCAAGTGGTTAGAGCGCAAATTTACTGACCGGAAGGTCCGTGGTTCGAACCCGACCCCTGCCACTCGACTTCCGCTATCTAGGCTTGGGCGACCTGACAGTATCCCAGCCCTCGTGACTCCTTCGTGTGGAATGGCAGCTAGGCCCTGAAAGGGTGCTACGGCTGGACGATTTCGGCAGTAGATCAAGGCCCGTGGGTAGCAGCGATGCGCGATATTAGTAGAGCCCTCGCTCCAGGAGATAGTCGCAGCAATTCTGCAGCGACGATAGTATGTTAACTTGTCATCCGGAAGCGACATCCACAATGCTGTAGTGAGCCAAATACCGTTTTTTTGGTTCTGAAATTTCACTACCGCGAAGGCGTGCTTGATCACCAATACCGCCGAAGTGTTACTTGTGTCTAGTGGGAACACCGGATTCGAAGTACCAACATGAATTGTGCGAGACAAACGAGCTGATTAGGATAGATGCATTAAATGTCACAGGACTCTGCCTCGCAAAACCGTTCTTATTTATGCATATTCTAGGTGGACATAGCGCAAGATATGCCAGACAGTGAACCGACAGCGAAAAACCCTTACTAGAAAGCACAGACAGACAGAAAAAATAGTTAAGGACGCTGTAATACATGACCCAGTCAATTGCGCTCGTCCCTGAATCTGGGCTATTTACACGAACCCTCGGCTCATTGATTCCCAAATAAGTAGCACAACATATTGTGGGTCGTTCTAACTGGACCCAGCACATTAAATTGTCACCCTTCTTCCAGAAAAACTTTTCTTCTAAATCATCATTTATCTATGGGAAAACTGATCAAGAAGGTTATACGATTCTCACATAATCTATGGTTTCATTTGGGGTTGAAAATCATGAAGAGGAAGAGGAGGATGAACCCATTGAGAGAACAGACGTTGTGAACCTGCCAGTTTCAGTTATTTTCAGTATGACGTACATCACTATCGCGCTTACCAACGACAGCGATCTGTATGGAACTAGGCAAACTATGGTGGAACGAGTTGAGATAACTTGCAAGGTTCATCGGATGCTGTGGGCAGTGAGCACCGCACAACAATGATAGCAACTGAGTTTCTGTTAGGCTACCTGGCAACGATGGCGCTAAGCAAATTTAGTATATACGAGTAAATTCACACGCCACACTCGGGAGGCAGGGGTTCGAGCACATGTAACCGGTTGCTCATTTCTTATTTTGCGACCCTACGAAAAAAAAACAAGAAACTGACCGAATAGAGTTCCATGAGTTCTGGAGCAGTGTATGCTTGGGTTTTATTCAGTGGGATAAAACGGATCTCCTCAGGCGGTTTTGCATCGTACACAAACGGAGGTGACAAGCTGTCAAAGTCGTGTGTCCCAATGGCTACCAGAGAGCGCTTCCTATAAAATAGGGAGAAAAAATGTAAGTGCGCAGCACTAGAAACCTTCATCTTACAGAAAGTCCTGGAGAGAACCTGTTTTGCTGTTTGGTCTCTGTCGTTTAAACCTCTCCTACTGGGAAAGCCTGGTAGCCATGGGGGAAGGATATTACGTCCCCGAAGTGCTACAACCGCCGTACGAGTAGTCACTTTCCACACGTTCACGTTTCATCAGCTAGCTAAAGCAAAATGGGTGACGTTCTATTCGTTCAAAACAAACCAAGACAAGACATTTGGTCGCCACATCATGGCAGCTAATGACATCTGTTTGAACTGCACCAGGACAGTGATGTGACTATACTGGAGGTTTCACGATAGTGCCCAAAAACGGTCAAGATTGTGCACCTCAGCCAAGCAAGACAAAGTAATCACAGATTTACGGATGCAGACCTTGCTGACTATCGTACCTTATGGTTGGTAAGTGAGAAGAATAGACTAATAAAACATTAAATGGAAGTCCAAGAGTCCAGAGGAAGATTGCTCATATAAGGAAATGTTAATCCAAAGAACTAGGTGAAATCTAGGAGCTTAATTTGAGCAAAAACAACAGCAACTTAAATAACCCTACTATTTTCCGCGAAATACTAACAACTTATTCATATGATAGTTAAGACTGTTTTCGAAATTTGTGCTTCCGTAGCTCTCTTCTATCCTGGTTTCGTTTTGCGATGAGTCTCCAAATAAGCAGTACTTCCGAGTGCGAAACGGTTTGAGGGCACTCAAATGGCGTGACCGGACAAATGTACCCAAGTATGACCCTTAATGCTCTACATGATTGGGTACATGTCACCAACAGAGAGGAAGAGACCACTAAGCTAAGAAGTGAATATCATCAGCACCACTACACACAAAATCACGGATCAAACTGACACATCCAGCCACAGAACCGCTTTCGAAATGGAAGATCAGTTCACCGTAATTCTGAGCACGCTGCGTTGTACGTAGCTCATACTTCTCAAAAATCCAAACCAAAGGGAAAATAAATGATCTTCTAGGCATGGTCTTTCAAACAAACGTCAACGGCGTCCCCAATCGTCGTTCAGCTGTAGCGGCCTTTTAGTGAATAGCTGCCATGTCACCCGAAAGAGGCATAGTGTCCACAATAACGCTCCGAAATTCAGTTGGAAAATAATTAGCCATTGAGAAGCGTCCCTGGCCGGGTGCACGGTGTGATATCGGTTGCACCAAACACAACCACACCTTACACAGTCGCACTCAACACTTCAGTCCAAGGTGGCTAGACAATGTATTAAACATGCCAAGTTACCAGTGACCTAGAACAGCGTTTTCTGTGTCCGTTTCAGAGTAACGAAAACTTAGGGGTGGACATAATGTAACATGGAAAAATGGAATAAAGGATATTACCAAAAGAATGGGTGCTGTTCGCCTTCCAGGTTGGAAAGACACTTGGCTGGAGGCAGCGAAAAAATTACGGCTAACCGAAAGTGACCGCCCTTTTCGCCAGTTTCTATCCAGGCTGCCTGAATGAGCGTTGGAGATATAGGAATCACATATATTTGTGGTAGGCTGACTACTTTTGTTCCTTCCAGTAAAGGATCCCATTTAAATTGACTGACATGTTCGTAAGTTAGTGAAGGGCCTGTGTTCTGCTCTAGTGTTGTTGTCAATGCTGGTGACGATGATGATCGCATATTCTTGTGGTAAGCTGCACATCGTTATACGCCATTGTGAATTCGATACGACAAACAGGCCGCTTTCGGTAGACGACGAGAATGACTGAGCACCTTCCGCACACGACCAACGCGACAAAATTCGTCGAGGTTAAAGAGGTGCTAAAGGGATATGCGCTGTAACGAAATACAGTGCCCAACTGTCCGAAACTTTAACATGACGCATATGAACGTAAAAAAGCTGATCAAAAAGATACGCTTAGTTGCTAATTCGCTGATACCAGCACCGAAAATCAAATAGCTAATGTGGCCTGTGTAAGGAATTACAATCGGTGAGGAAAAGACAAAAGTTGTGAAAGCAAACACGCAACGAAAGGTGAAGATGACGGTACGAAGAGTGATCAAAACTTCCATTTCCAATTGTAGATAGTAAACGGTCAGAAGACGGCACTCCGATAGAGTTGATGCTTCTCTAAAGGCTCCACCAGTTTACTGCACAACTTTCATTTAGTGATTTTCCCCTTTGGATTCGATCCTATCCACTGGCCCAATGATCCCACTCATTTTCGCGCTCCCAAGCGTACGCAGAAAGGTGATGTTGTATGAACTCACTGCCATGATTTTTGGGCAATGTACAGTTTAAACGGATACAGAATATTTGTCACCGGACAATATAAACGGATACCTGCAAATGTTTTGATGGAGCTTTTCTTGAAGATCAATGAGACTGTTAAAGCTCGCCTCGTCCAGCTTGACATTTCGTAGCAATGCAGCAACAACAAAAGGTCGTACGCTCTGAGTCTGGAGATTAGAGGAACACAAAATATTGAAATCAAATGAAGACGCCTACCGCCGGTCGAACAGACAACTGGATCGGTGCGTTCACTGTTAACCGTTTGAAATTTGGGACCATAATTCTACCAAGAAATATGAGGATAAAAGGTGTGCACTTACTCCCCATTGAATACCTTCAGTGCCCTACAGAGTCCTTCGGGGCATAAGATATCGTATCGGTTGGCAGGGACCTCTACTTTGTAAATTTTATCGGAACTGAAGTCTTTGGCACGGTCTTGTCCCTGTTCACGAGCAACGAGCTCCTGCTCTGAAGTCTGGATAAAAGGAGAAACAGTAGTGCATAAGGGAAAAATAGGACTTACAATTTCATCAAGCTCCAAGCCGAACTGGAAGCACAACTCCTCAAACTCATCATCAGCTAAAAAAATGGAATTATTGGCAGAAGCGGATAGTAGCTACAGTAATATTTCCCCAGTCGCTGATATAACACATCTCCCGGTATGGAAACGATAGGCATAGTAGAACGATCAGGTACCAAAAACGACCGGGAGAAAAAACTGGTTGGATTTTACCTATAGTGGAAAGAAGGTATGGAACAACAAGTGTGGCGGTAGTGATCTTATTAACTAGACATGATAAATGAAAGGAACACGCACATACTTCAACGAACAGCAGTTTGTCAGAATGAGAATCAGTCGTCGCCACATAAAACCGATACTCAATTCTCCAGTTTGCCTGCTCAATTCAATTCAGCAGATCATCTATAAACCGTGTACCATAGGCACATTGGTTACAGCTGCTAGAGCTTCAATCCCGAAAAATGGGAGAGTGTGGGGAATACAGCCAAGCCTTGGAGGCCATGACATATTCAGTTTGTTCGAAAATTGGAGGCGACGGATTCGATGCAGGAGGCCATCTCCAGACGAAATCCTGCCAATCATGAAGGGCCCTTTTCTAGCACGAAGCACTGAATTAAAACTAAAACAGATTTCAGTAATCTCGGTTTGCCTCGCTGACGATCTGTTTGTGTCCGTAGCCTCCCAACACTGAAAACATTTAGTATTTTGCTTAGACCAGCAAGAAATACATATATCTTAGTGATAGAAATACCCCGGTCAGCGGACTAAATGCAGAAGATTGACAGTCGACTCGAAGTTGTTGTTTACAATACAAACAACGAACAGTGACTTTTTCAGTTACACGGTTAACATCGTTCGTTTCTAACCAGTACAAAGTTTCGGCACAATCACCAGCACCGCTCACTACCACCATCTTCACCCACAACACAATATCGGTGATCAACAATGATAGTTTGACGCTGGAGGCCACAGTTTATTTGCATGACTTACTGCGGAGAAGAGAATACAGATGGGTTGAGAAGAGGCTTAGTGTTAGCTTACCGCGATCATTCCTAGTTGCTTACACCTGCAAATATATATTCAAACAATACGAATAGAAACTAGGAACACGAATGCCGCTGACATCGACTGGCAGCGATAGCTTTCAGCATATTCAACCATATACACGGGGGAAAGGTGGACTCTATCCCGGATGGCGAGTCGGGCCGACAGTACCCAAACTTTTCATAGTTGATTCCATTTCCCTCTGACAATTGAAGGTTGGACATGAAGGAGACTAACACTGCCTTCGGCAAATCCTGATTCAGGATGCACAATGCATGGTTGAACCACCGACGATTATGGTACAAAGCACATGCCAGAGCTTCGATTCAGTCGTTTTTCAGCCCACAAATCGTGCACTGAAGTGCAGTAGCTCCACCTACCACATCTTCGTTCTCCACTGATACGGAGACTGGGGGAGGCGATGGCTCAATCAGTTCACTGACCACAACTGTCGCTGTTTGTCCTGTATGGAAGGAACGAGGTATGCAAGGAAGGTGATAGCGTTGATGCAAGAGAGCGATTTGCTGCGTGACATGTATATCAGGGTCTCGTCCAGCGACTCCCATCCACAAAGACAGTAGTCAGCGACGCGTCTGTAGACTGATGAGGGCTTTCATGCTTCGTTGCCAAGCCGAGGAGCGACCGCCTCTAAAGTGTCCCCATACGATAAAACCTCCTAGCGTACTTCGACAGTATTGGTCTGACGTTCCCACTAGATCGCGCAACGCTTCGGAAGCACCAATGGACAAACACAAATCTCTGAAGATCTTCCGGGCGCAGCATCCACGTTTCTGATCCGTAAATTGAAACAGATCGGACCGCGGCATCGTGCACCTCTGGTGGTAAAGCCGGTGTCACAGTAGCGCTACAAATTTGAAACGCTAACAGACGCTATCCTGGTCGTCCCGGTTCGAGAAGTGATTTCGAGTCACCAGTTGGATGCTGGAATAGACGAACGTATCCACATCCACCGGTTCACTTGAAACCATGAGGTATGGTCTGCTTTTCACTTATCCGTCTTGCAATAACGATTTAAACTTCACAGGGGCTAAGCGCACACCAAACTGTGCAACAGAATTACTTAGTTTATTTTAAATAGTTCTCATTTGTAGAGGGCCTCACCTAAGAGGAGAAATACCGTCAGCGTACTCAATGTCCGGTAGCAAACCATGGAGAGAAATGCTGACCGTATACCCAACGTATTTGGGCGAACGCCCCCGGAATATTTCAACCACCGAGGTTTCAGAAGAATGCACAACAATTTTAAGCGGGAGGCCAATAGTAAAGTTGAAAAGAATGGTGATAGGGGTCTTCCGGAGGCCAGCCGCCAAATGGCGCTTTAGGCATCAGTGATTTGTGTCAACAACACTCCCATCACATGCATGTAGAGACCGCGTAGGTCGCCGGGGATTATATTTAAAAAAGCGTTACAACCTTACGCAAGAAAAAAGAAAAAACACTTCAAAACGCTGTCGCAGTGCACATAAACCAAATTAAGGTTCTATTTCTTATTAAAATCCTAGGGAGCCTTTCATGAACTCCTTGTAGATCACAAAAATGGGGAATCGAAGAGTTGTGGTAATGGTGATATTCCGCCCAAATGACCGAACACGACCATTCGGACGGGAGTGCCAAGTGAAGGCTACGGACCAAACGAATGCATGCCCCAATTGGCCAGAATGCCAGCCAATCTGGTTCGAGCATCTTTACCTGGACGCTTCTCGCACCCCTACGGAGATTCTGGCATGGCCCTGTAGAAAGATCTGTGACCATCCTATAAATACACTTGTAATAATCTTCCGTTGTCTCCATGAAGGACCGTCTGAAGCTACTGTGCTTTCTGATGCATCATAATGGATGGAGCTGGAAGCCAAGGGACTGATGCAGAGTTGCACGACCGTTCATCACGTCACACAGGAGTAGCCTAAGGTTACATCACTAGACGTAGCAAACTCGATTGAAAGCTTGTCTAATGCATGTAGGTGGTCACGGCAATCCACATACAGTACGCAATAAGGGATATATATCTGTAAGAAACTTTTGAAAGCCGGGCAATGTCGGAGTTTCCGGAAAATGACAGAGTCAGAAGCACCTTTCAGACAAATACAAAAAATGAACGGGGGACGTCTGAAACGGTGAGACCTTTCAATAACTAGTCCTTAGCCATAGCTCGGGAGGGATCAACGGTTAAAGCGTGAATTTCGTAATTGGACGGTCCTGGTTCGAAGCCAACCTGAGTATACCGACTGCATCCGTCTAAGCCTGACACGCTGGTAGTATCTCAGTCACGGATTCACGTAACCACGGATTGATACACAGTATCGATGCTTTTTTCAAGTTTTCCTGGTCGGTTTTGTTCTTATCGTTCAGCGGATTTCGTTCACCTGATAGGCACAAGTGAAACTCAGTCACGGATTCACGTAACCACGGATTTATACACAGTATCGATGCTTTTTTCAAGTTTTCCTGGTCGGTTTTGTTCTTATCGTTCAGCGTATTTCGTTCACCTGATAGGCAAAGGTGAAAAAAGGTGTAACACGGCTCTTTATGCTACCTGTCAGGAACTAATTGAAGAACCATGTTCCGGAGCGCTTTTCTGTTTGCAACAATGCATACTTAATTTATGAACGCTTTCACGGGGACCCCTAGTTATCTCTATGGCAGAAAACAGTCCCTATGCCAAAAACATCCTCTACTCAGTGACGGTTGCCCAAGCTCAGAGGCGCGCAGGTATACGGCCACCGAATTCCATGCGAACTACAGAATACGCTCTTGTTAAGTATCCTGGCGCAGAATGCTCGCCATTACTGGAATATTTTCCCACATTTTGGTCCAATTATGTGACAATTGTTGCACACACTTGGCATTCTGGCTAAAGCCTGCCTAAGTTGGTGGGCGAAAACCAAGCCGCCGTATGTTAACCTAGCGAATTTTTCTCGAGACAATATAGAAAATCAAAATATATCACCATCGATAGTGGATGACTGAGAGTACCATAGTCCCAATCTTTGAGGAAAACATTCAGTAACCAGTTCTTTACAAGCGGTCGGCAAGGCAAGCGGAAGGCAGAAGAACTTTCATTTCAACTGCTCAGTGGCAACACGATCACCAAATGCTGATGAACGGTGTAGGAGCTTGCATTCTGGAACAAACGGAATGGAGATTATGTATCCAGAGGAAAAGTAAGCTCCCTAAATAATCTCAAATGATGATTTTCAACACCTTGAATACCAACAAATAGGCTTGCATTCTTATGGTGTAAGGAGAGATGCCCTTAGCAACGGAGTCGTTTATTAGCAGGCACAAACTGAACGGTTACAAGACATTAGAAAAGGAGGTAAACATATCATTTTGTCAACTGAACATCCAAACGCGTCTTCTTGAACTTTCTTGGATATTATTTAACAATCACGCAATTGTGAACGAACGCCGCAAAGCAGCAGACGTGAGGTTTCTTGAACTTCTTGGATATTATTTAACAATCACGCAATTGTGAACGAACGCCGCAAAGCAGCAGACGTGAGGTGGAGTCACAAAACACCACATACCACACGCATGTCTCATCAGTAGTACCCGACCTTACAATGGTGGCACCGACACACAGTTTACAGTAAAGGAGCGCATGTGCAACTTTCGAACTTGCTGAAGAATCACACATTCAATGATCCACTGTTCGTCGCGGTTTCATCAAAAATAAGGCCTATAAAACCTACGTCAGTCTCCGTCTGTTTGTGCCATACCGACTTAAAACAGCACTGTGTGAAAACAGCTTATACTTATTTCATCACCCAACTTTACATGTTTGTTCACATTCTTTTAGTGCCATATACGACTACTCTAATGAGACCCTTCCGGCGGAAATAGCCTCACTACAGTCTTGTGATAACTTGAAGACAGAATGGAGAATAATGTGAATGTTGACCACAAATTCGTCGGCTTAGGTACTTTTGGCGCACTCCGGTTCTTTCCTCGAGGTGATTTGCGCAAAGCAACCACCTTGCGATAGCATTTGTTCCTTTATCGCCAGCATATTGTCGGCTTACAATGAAACCAATGGACTCCACTCAACAAGCACAGACTCCACAGAAATTTATCCTGAGTCTGGGACAAACCTACAACTATTTCAGGCAGATTTTGCATCAATGCCACTACTGGTACTGGTTCGGCAGACAATATCGGTCCTTTGATTAGCGTGAGTCAAACCCAAGCCATGTTCAGACGGCTAACATCCTAAAGTGTGGGTTGTTCGACAGGAAAGTCAGGGTTAATATGGTTCTGCGGATCCCGCTCTGCCAGTTTTTGTCGACTATTATGTTTTATTTATAAGAAGCTTTATTTTCCTCAAGGTGAAGTGCGGATATTATAGCCGAGATCTCTTGATTAAATGGTCAAAGAAAGGTGCTGAATTTTCGGTTAGGCGGAAAACATTCATTATTTTATTAGGTTTTAATCATTCGGTAATCAGTTTTGCATGTTGAAATCAGTAGAGGTAAATGTCACTTCAATCCAGCCTTTGAGATGCAAATTAGCATTAAAAGGAACCGTTTTTCCTTGAACGCAATTCAAATATTGGAGGAGGCGAACGTTCGGTGAAGAGGTATCAAAAATTCTTGTAAGGTAAGCAAACGAAGACTCTCGAGAACCAAGCAGATAAGGAACAAACAAGTGCTTCCAGTTTCGTGGAAGCAAGATCGCATGCTTTGATGAAACTACAGTAACTATGTAAACGTCAGTCAAACGAGAGAAAGTGTCAGCAAATTGTGAACCAAGGCCGGCGTAAGTTTACGGACATTTACGTTTTCTTAACGGACAAAACTCGGGGGTACAGCCGGAACTTAAGCGAAGGAGGAAAAAAGCGGTCTGCATGTTTCGGGTACACCGGCGTTTAAAAGACCAAGGGAAAGATTTTCTCCAGATGGCCGTTTGGTGCCATTTTTATGTCCATCATCTTGTTGAGCGCAACTGAATGCAGCAACTAAACTAGAATGGAATAATCGACATTGATGCCTTCAGCTAATATAGAAATATTGAAGTAAATCGGAGGATTCATTGGCATGAAACAAGCAGGTCTAATGAGGAAGCAGCAGATGCACTGATACTACCAGCCATAAAAAAGACCAACGCAGGGCACACGCGGCTTGACCCTTTGCTTTGGCTTGTCTTCCAGCTGGCTGTTCCAAGATTTAGTCACATTTAATAGTTCGGTGGAGGTCTCCAGCAACAATTGAAGGATGTGGAACACTATTAACTTTATTTCTTTGCTGTTGCATGATATTGAAGACTTGAACATGGGGCGAATATCAACGGCACAACTGGCATTGGAGGTAGACAGCTGATCATTCAGTAGGATATTTTCCAACACCTGTTTGGTCGGCGATGGTTGCAAGGCATGAAAAAGTGAGGTTGCCTGAACTCCGATCCCTTGAGGATCGGCGAGAGATCCATGGCTGGATCATATATATGATGCTTCTTTCGAGAAAGTGATAAAACACTCAAAAAAAGTAACAGGCCGAAAGAAGTAACATCAAAGAGCACCTAAGTGGGGAGCATGACTCATGAGCTGCTG